AATTTCTTGTCCAGAAGTGTAAAAGCCTCAAGAGCTCCGTATCAAGGAAGGTCTGGAAGGCCACATCAGGTCAGCCTCTTTCACTCAAGGTACTGCTGCTGATCCATGCTGGGCTTCATGCCCTGCCCCACCCTCCTTCAGCTAAGGAATGTGTGTCACACCAGAAAGTGTCTTCTGGCCAGTTGTCCTTGAAGATATTTTGATTTCAGATCATTGTACTTTAAGATGGTGGAGATGCCAAACACTGTTCAACTACCTTACTTCTTCTGTCTCAAGTCAGTATTTATGACATACCAGGCTTGGCACAGTTTCCAATTTTCTCTAGCTCTGTATCTGCCAAGATTAGATTCAGAATAGGGGACTGCTGTCACACTGCCATATACTAATATGGTCATCTCAGTCTAAAAACAGCATCATATCCCTCCTAACAGTCACTCTGAGCTGGATGTGCATCTGGACCTGAGGTCTGGACCTCTGTTTTGTGGTAGTCCATCTACATCATACGAGTGCAGAAAATACTCAGTGTTGAGGGATGAGGTTTGTTAAAGTGCCTCTATTGGAGGCTTGGTCAGTGGCACATGGTTCCAATTGCCCAGAAGTGTCTGGAACATAAAAGTCTGGCTTCACTGACAGAGTCAAAGCCTGATGGCAGCATGGATGGGTTATGGGGCCAGCTGGAGGAAGCAGGGAGTGGGGCTGTCCTTTGAGGGGCATCTTGGATCCTTGCTATCCTTTCTGGCTGCCATGAGTAAGCACCTCCTCTGCCCACCCCCTCCGACCATGGTGACATTCTGCCTCATCTCATGGGTCTAGGCAGTCTTTTTCAAACCTCTGAAACTGAAAGCTAAAACAAATCACTGCTTAAGCTGTTCAAACCAGGCATCTCATCTCAGAGGCAGGGAAGTAATGCCTATTTTCAGAGCCCATGGCAACACAAAAGCATTTTATCAAAAAATTTTATATTGGCAAAATATGCTTTAGGGAAAACAAAAAGTCAAGTTTTTTGAATCCCTTCTGAAGTATAGACACCAACAGGTCGAAGGACAGAGAGAGGTGCAGATGTGGGAGCCCAGGACAGCTGCTCTGTGACATTTCCCAGACACCAGGAGGCTGCCAAGAATGGGAACACATACTCCATAGGCTACGGTTTTCCAAAGTTTTGTTTGTAATAACAATAAAGCAAGTCCTAACTGATTTGTCAGCTTATATATTATAACAAATTACTTTTGATAATACAGTCTGATTTTTGGTATGTAGCTGGGAAGGGCCAAAGAACTGAATGACAATACTAGATATTTAAAATCCCACAGACTCCTACTCCCATCTGTCCATTAATGTGCAAAGGGTTTTCAATCTTCACATCTATTAAAATAATATAACAGTTCCTGAAAATTCAGTCTCATTCTTGCAGGAGGTAATGGCTATCTCAGATGTATAAATCTAACAGGAACAAGGCTGTTTTATAGATACACAAATAATATTTTACATTTTATGTTAGTATTTCATAAATATAATAATGCCTGTAATTGTACTGCCCATATACTAATATTTAGAAAAACAATGACACAAACTTTTAGCATTAAAACCTATTGCTGTATCACTTTATGAATACTCATTATATATATTGTGACTATTGTGACAGTGAAATATAGGATAATCAATAAAATTCCTTCAGAGATAAAAGTTAGTTCAATGTAATTTTTTTTTTTTTTGGTCTTTTTGAGTCTTTTTGGGTCTCCCTGTAGTCCCAGCTGACCTAACTCATGATGTAGACCAGGCTGGCCTTGAACTCACAGGGATCTGTCTGCCTCTGCCTCCCAAGTGCTGGGATTAAAGGTGTGTGCCATCACGTCCAGCTAGTTCAATGTAATTTAACTTCAGTGGGAAATAAGGAATAGAAGTACAAAGTAAAAAAGGAAAATGGAACTACACTTTTTTTTAAGTATTCAAAAAAAAAAAAAAAGCAGTTTGCTTGCTGACAGCAAGCAAATCTCTGTGGTACATGGATTCCACTGGTACCTTCCAGAGTACCAGAGAGAGCACTTTCATTTTTAGAAGCTAGCATTCATCATAGACCAGACTTTTGTCATTTCTTACAGGAAGTCAGCATCAAGATCCCGTTATTGCAAGATATGTGAACATGCACAGGGTTGACATGGGCAGATCCCTGAGCATGACAGTTCCGACTCTCCTGGGCCCTGGTGCTGGTTTGCATAAACTATAAGCAGGAACTCTTACAGCTGAACCCACAGATGGGCCTGCTGACAAAGCCTCTGAAACCAGAGAGAACAGAAGGGGGTTGTAGGCTTAGTCCATTGGCAAAGGACAATGGAACAAAGGCTCCAAGGGAACCAGAGCTGTATCAGTGCTGAGAAGCTGAGCACTTGTTAATGAAAGCTTTAATAACGAAGAGATTTAGATCAAATTCTAGTTACATAAAGTGTTTATTTCATGGAGTATAATCCAACATTTGGTAACATAACCCTGTCCAAAACAGAATGGGAGAGGAAAGGAAGGGTAGCATGGATATGAAAAATGAGAGATTCTGTATGCCTTTTGGAAACAAAGCAAAATATGATGCACTGAGGCGTGGGGAGGGGAGATAGTGAGCCATGTTGTAGAGAGAGGTCCAGTCACTGAGGTATAGAGTGATGAGTGCCTGAAGAAATGGGGACTTTCTTTCCTGATTACAAAATTAGACCCTGGCTGTCCCTAGCACATAAGCATCTCCTTTGAGTTTTAAAAGTCATTTTTTCAATGACACCATACATGCCATCAACTAGGAGAGAACCTCAACTTGGTGCTGAATAGTGAGGCCTGGGGACAGCTAGCACACTGTCACTCTGACCTGCTGTGCCCCTCAAGCCAACTGGGTCAGTGTGATCAGGATGGACGGAACTAAAAGTCACATTTCCTCTGCCACTTTTAAAACTTAGCCAGGCATGGTAGCAAATGCCTGTAATCACAACACTTGGGAGGCTGAGGCAGGAGCACAGAGTTCAAAGTCAGTCAAGGCTACATTCTGAGAGATCGACCGACTGACCAACCAACCAACCATCTTTTTATCAAATTAAGACATGGCAAAGACATAGCTAAGGGAAAACTGTGAGGGCTGAAGGTGCGCACACGGCTTCTGAAACTCCTACTGACACCAACTGTACCAGAATTATGAACAAGAAATGAGGAGGGGTGAAAGATGTATGTATTAGAGGAGCTGCTACAAAAAATTACTACTTTTACTGTGGCCAAACACATTCCTCTGCCAAGATACCTTATTTTCAAGTCTCTCTTGTCCAGCACTTACACTTTTTGATTATTTCTGCTGCCTAAGAAAGACAATACTTTTACAGAGAGCACCCAAAGAGCAATATTTTCAAATGCTGGAGGACTTCATTTCAACTCACATTAGTAAATCTTCTAGAACACTGGTTTCATAAACTTTAGTAGAGTCATCTCCAAAGATAATACTTCCTGTGTAGCTCTCCACACTGGTAATCAGTATGATCTACATACAAAACATACCATGGAGCCTTCAACACACACAGCTGGTTTTATGTGCTTTATTTTATTTATGATTTGGCATAAGTATTTATTTGCAAATAGCTCTGTACCTAAAAATAAAATCCTGACCATGTTCTGGAGAAATAAAACGTCTTTCAAGCAATGGCAAGCACGATCCAATATACCAATTATTTCTAACTTTTAAAAGCACAGGTAGTCCCAATTTACGCAGGAGCTTGCCAAAGGCATAAATATTATTGGCCACCTCCACAAACAAATTTAAGGCACAATAACACCACCTGACACCTGGTGAGACAGGAGATGGCAGGAGGTGGGTTCAGACAAGGGACACTCAGAAAACAGCATTTCCCACAATGCCCAGAAAAAACAAGCCATACCTGACACGTTCATACAAACGCCTTTGCCCACAGTCTTTTTTTCAAAAAAATTATTTTATTTATTATTTATTTTATGTGTATGAGTGTATTGCCTGCATGTAGGTAAGTGCACCCGACCCACACAGTCTTAAAGCAGATGTAATACACATCCTACACAGACTTAGCACAGTGTTGTTCAAACCATGGGATTTGGTGCATCAGCAAATTATGAAATCAATTTAATATACTGGATCAGTATTGTTTTAACATAAAACCAAGGTAATGATAGCATTCTCTTGTGAAACTGCTTTTAATTTTAGATACAGATACACATATGACTGCATGTCAGAACACAAACATAAGCATGTTTATTAAGGGTCTGAAATATATTGACTCTGCAGAAAACAATTTTTGTTTTGAATTTTCAGTTCTAAATAGACTATTAAAGTCAGTAATAAGTGACTTATAATTAGATCTAGGTCTAATGAGAGACTGCAACATTATCATCTTATTTAGGTATATATTTGTCAGATACATTTGCTTTGTCTTGAATCCTAATATGACTGAAAAAGACACAGAGCCCACTTTAACTCTAGGCTGTGGTTATCGTTGATAAAGACTATTTATTGAGCCCTATGCTAAACCAGGAGATATCTAGCTATTTTATTGAATTGCTTCCATTCATCTCTAAATTACAAGCTATTGGGACTACAGAGATGGTCCAACAGTTAAGAGCACTGGCAACACACACGTGGCAGCTAACAACCATCAGTAACTCCAGTTCCAAGGGAACCTGATGCCCTCTTCTGATCTCCAAGGGCATTGAACGACATGGGTGTACTTACATACATGCAGGCAAAACACTCATACATATAAAAATAATTTTAAAAAATCACAAGTTATTGTCCTGATTTTATACAGGAAAGCAACATGCTCAGGGAGACCCTAGCTCAAAAACAAAACAAAACAAAACAAAACACTCTTGAGATTTTTGACTCTCATGGGTATTCTGACCACTGCTATGCCTAGCTTCCATGCAAACTTTTAAGGATTCCCCTTCCAAGAATATGCAATTAAACATGTAGCTCCTTGGTACTGGGAAAAGATGGCCAGCTGACTTACCATTCCAATACATTTTCTGAGGATGCTCCAGATACTGAAGTCATTTCTAGAAAACATGGGAGAAGGCAAGCTCGTTCTGAAAAGAGAAGAGAAGAGCAGTTCATCTTAATTCTCTTGACACTGAAAAGGAGAGCATTCTGTCACTGATCTGTGATGGTAGGCACATATGTACAGAGACACTGCAAAGATGTGCAGTATGAGAAGGAGGGCAGAGCTGTACCTGTTCACTGCTGTTCTGACCTCTGAAGTTTCAGGGCAAATACATAGGTCATTTGTCTTCAGCACCCTGATTATCACAATTCCTCTTATCTTTCTTGGTCCTCGGGGGTCCAGCTGGATCCCTCCCCTTCTAGAGAACCTCCATGTGTTCTTTCACATGCTGGTACATCTGACCCTGTTGTCTGATGCAACACCTATTGGCCGCCCTGTGATCTAACAAACTATCACGCTTTAGCTAAGTGCTGGAGACAAAATGCCACCATCAAGTTTATAGCTTTTTAGGAAATTAAATAGGAAAATTCAAATAAATTACCAAAGCCAAGGTAAAACAAGGGCCCCACATTATACATTCAAACTTCCCCAGAATACTGACACGGGAAGAAATGCAGCCACTCCATATATACTGGAAGAATCTTTTTGGGGGGTGGGGGGTGAGTGGGTTTTTGAGACAGGGTTTACCTAAAACATGAATGGGCCTAGAACTCACTATGGAGATCAGGTTGGCCTTGATCTCACAGAGATCTTGCCTGTCTCTGCCTCCCGAGTGCTGGGATTAAAGATATATGTCACCATGCCCAGCCTGTATATTGGAAGACTCTTTACAGATGTTAGCCTCAAAAGAAGGAACATCTTCAAAGCCTCTGCAGAGCTCTAGAAACAACCAGAGGGACAGTACTGTCAATGGAAGAGGGTCTGTGGCTTGCAGCCCAGGTGTACTGATGCCAGGCCTTGTGGGCTCTGGGGGCCAAGCCTTTTCCAGTTAGAACAGCAGCCACACTGGAGGGGAGGGCGAGGAGTGCCCAGCACCACTTTTAAAATACAGTGGTGATCACAGCTCATTCTTTTCACAGGTAGTTGTGGTTACAAGGGATGCCAGTTTTCTACTGAAATACACTCATGTCAAATTACTGGTGCATGTCTATAATCCCAGCATCAGGGAGGCAGAGGCACGAGAATTACGAATAATGAGATTCTGTCTCAAAGAACAAAACCAAAAAATTACCAAACAACCAATAAGAATCAAAATACTCAACATATCTTATTCTTAAGAACTCCTATGTTAAAACTAACTTGAATTATAAAAGGTAATGAAATTTTCAGTTTTAAAGTAAATGCTATTTAAAAGCCGACATAGTGACATGGTTCCTCCTTGCAGGTAACACACACTGCTCATTTGGCAGATTTGTCAGCTAGCCAATCTGCTGGAGCAGTGGCCACAGATGGTATTTAAGCCACATTCCCCACTCAATGGGATGACCAATCTCTGTGACAGGAATAACAGAGCCCAGAGACATAGAGAGCCCCTGACACTGTCTGCCGTGTGTGTATAATAGGGCCAGCCATGTACACAGCTCCAGTTTTCCCTGTTTATTAGACAATCTGAAGTGTAACATAGCTTGGAAACTGTGATCCTGATCATAGAGGCTGAATAAATACAGCCAACGCTTACATTAAATACAAAGCTATGTCCTACTCTTCTGACAGCAGGTGAGAGCAGAGGCAAGAAAAACCAACAAATGTCTTGGAGGCATCCGTCTTTGAGTCTTGCTGTGTAGCCCAGGCTGACTTTGAACACTGTGGCTCCACATTCTCCATCTTCCTGCTTCTGCCTCTCAAGGGCTGGGATTACAAGTGTGCACTAGCACACTGATTCCTGGGGGCATGTCTTGAAGACAGAAGATAAGGGACTTCAGGTTTGGTAATTACTAACGGTTTAGAATTATCAGAGGCTTCCTACCTGGAAATGTCCTCTACTATTCCTATATACACAATTTTGTGTTTTTTTTAAAATATAAATGTGATTGTTACTCATTTATGAGGAAGCCAAATTATCTGCAACATTAATTTTCTATTCCAAATATAAGCAAAAGTAGAGATGAAAGGAAGTTTGAATGGTAAACAACTGTCATAAACACTGCTGTTTCCTTGTGGGAAACAGAGTCAGGCACAAACCTTGCTCAGCCCGCACTGCAATGAACACATGAGAAACTGCAAAGAAACACTGGCCTACAGGAATGTAAGCTATGCAGGAGTCATGGCTTAGCAATGACCTCAGAGTTGCTGACCATGATCTAAGGCTGATGAGGCTGTCAAAAGCACTGGTGCAATGGCAGACTGCACATGGAGGCGTGCAACCAGGCCAGCCCCAAGGGCCACTCAGACTGGACCCAGATCTGGTGCCATTTTCCAACAGAACTCTTAACACTGCTATGTAGGAGAACTTATCAGAGGTTAGGAAAAGTGTCTGGAAGACATTTATTATAATCAATGGTGAAGAAAATGTACACTCTGGAAGAGAAAAAGTTGGAGGCCAGAGGACAGTCAGCAGGGCTAGAGAAAGGTACTTGGAGTGACGGTATAACCACCCTTCATGCACCTGTCTCTTTCACCTTTGACAGCACTGATCACATGACACCAATCTAGTGTCTTGTTTACTTGTGACTTTGTTATTCAATCAGCAAGCAAATCCCTAGGTAGTTAGGTTTTATCAACTGCTACAATGGCTACCTAGTACAGTGTCTATCACAGGGTAGAAGTGTTTGAATCAACTTTGGAATTTTACAGTCTATAAGCAGGCAGACATTATCTCTTTCATAAAGGCTTTTGTTTACTGCATACTACCCAAGACAGTAGGACTATTACTTCTGGTGCCAGAGGATGTTAGGATGGTTGACCTAACAGCTTATCTTCCAAGAGAGTCCAACAAGGGTCTTAAAAGGGATTCCTTTCACCTCAGAAGGGTTTCTGGCAGACACTGCATCAGGGACAGCATGAAAAGGCACTTCTGCATGGGGTGGGAGGCTGATCTGCCACAGGCAGGCCAGGGATGCAACGCTGCTGAATGGCCTACAGGGAACAAGACTGATCCCATCACGAAGAGTTATCTGCCCAATGTCAATGGTCAAGGGGTGAGAGGCCATCCTCCTGGAGGAACACAAAGAGCATCAAGCAAGATTTCAAATCATACATGAAGAAAGTAGCCAGGATAAACAAGTAAAAATGAAAAATGAAGTAATTTTGTTAATAATTGTGGAGTGAATGTGAAACATTCCTATAATTTCATGTGTGGAACACTTAGCTCCCAGCTAGTGGCATTAGCTTAGGCAGCTCTGGAAACTAAGGAGGCAGAGCCTAGCTGGAGGAAGCAGGTCAATGGAGCATGCTTTTGAAGGTTACACCTGGTCCCCATCCATCCTCCCTACTCTGTGGCTCCTAGCACAAAGCCAGAGAGTCAAGGACCATGGACCAAAACCTCTGAAAATGCAAATAAACCTTCCCTCAAGTTTTGCTTTTCTAAACACTTATTTATTCTTTAAGAATTTCATACATATGGGGGCTGAAGAGATGGCTCAGCAATTAAGAGCACTGGCTGCTCTTGCAGAGGACCTGGGTTTGATTCCCAGCACCCACACTGTAGCTAACAACCATCTGTAACTTTAGTTCCAAGGGATCCAATGCCCTCTTCTGACCTCCACATGCACTGCAAGACACAGGTGCATTTACACACAGGTAGGCAAGATAGTCATACATATAAAAGTAATAAAAAAAGAATTTCATACATATAGTGTATTTTGATCATATCCACCCCAACATCTCCCTCCAACTTCTCCAATACCCACCCATGTCCCTTTCCTAATTTCATGCCCTCTTCTTCTTTCTTTAAATAGCTCACTGAATACACAATTAGTATATCCAAATGCCCAGGTGTAAAGCCATCCAGCGAACAGGGTCAGTCTACCAGGAGTCACACCCCTGAGGAAAACTAACTTCTCATGCCCTCTAGCCATCAATGGCCAATAGCTCTTTAGTTGGTGGGGGGACCTCGGAGCCCCTCCCAACCCATGCTGGAATGCTAACTGGCTTGACCTTGTGAAAGTCTAGACAGGAATTCTGTGATTATGGAGAAAAAGCTAACAGAGATATACAGTTAGCCCAACATATCGAAAAAGTTAGCACTGTAACATGTATCAACTCCAAAATTCTCACACTGTCTTTAAAATCCAGTGTATTTTACACTTAGACCACATCTCAGCTTAGCTATTAGCTCAAAGTGAAATACAGTTGTAATGAAAAAAAAAGTGTGCTACAGGAGACACATCTGATACTATATTTAAAAATGTTTTATGGTACAAATTCCATTTCTCAGCCACATTCCAAGTGCTCAGATGCCATGTGGACAGACTGGAACCCCGCGATTACTTCTGAAAACAAAAGGACTGTATTGTCTGAAGATTCTGCAGGAAGAACAACAAACTGCTCCATGACAGGAGTCCAAAGTCAATGAGACAAACAGACAGCTCCCAGCCTGGCCATGGAGAAAATGCTAAATCCTCTGCAGTGCAGTGTCAATGCAGCAAAGGGAAGACAGACATGGGTAGGTTCAATTTGCATTGAGGAGACATGTTTCTGTGTCCTAAATTTTCTACCAGGAGAAACGCAGAAAGAGCAGTGACTGCTGCGGTGCAACGCACACCAGCAGCTCGGAACAGGACACAGCCAGCACTCTGCAGAGGGTACAGATCAGCGATTCTTTGCCTGGAGTTATCTGAGGGTCATTATCCTGTAGTCTATGATTCCTTTTCTTCTTCAGAGAAAAACACCCTGTACCAGGAACTGACAGTGCTAGGCCTGGTTCTGTTTGGGACCACACAGATAACATGAGGACTGCCCACACAACATAGTAGCTAGAGTTTGAATGAGAAGTTTCCTCAGTTTGTTTATCTTTGTGATGGAAATGGCCCCATTTTTCCTTCCACAATTATTCCCCTGATACACAATTGTAGACAGAGTCCAAACGGAACCAAATGGATTTATGAAGGCCGACTAAAGAATGCTGGCTTCAAAATTTCCTTATAG